TATATATATAATAAATATATACAAGTTATATTAACTTAAAAAAATTAGAAAATGTCAGTTTATGTTAGAGCTGATAACAGCAATTCTACATTACAAATATCGAATACGAATATCAAATTCATTTTATTACAAGCAATAATAAAGATAGAGAGAAATAAAAAATTTATTTGTTTGTTTGTTTACAATTACGAGTAACTGTCGTAAGGATCAGTATGGATATTTATACAATCGAGTGCAATATCTCTTCACTGAAATGTGACTACTACAAATATCACGGTCTTTAATAATACCGCATATAAAACGGCTCGTAAACTCGCGTGAATCGATTGGAAGCAATCTCGTTCCCTTCTCCGCTGGACTTGAGGCGTCGTTGAACAAAATCCGCGACACGCGAATTGCAAGCGGTAAACCGGAAGCGAGCAACCGCGAGTCGTCTAGGCGCGTAACTATAAGGGTGTGCGAATGAAAGAGGTGGACCCACCACTACCATCAGACGTTGTTCCTCAACCCCCTCCCCCCAACCCCCTCCCATATGGTAGCCACATGTAGGTTCTGGGCACCACCAGAGGGGGAAAAGTCATCGCGGGGATCCAGCTGATGGTCGACGCGTTGGTCGGGCTTCCTCAGTTACTGTTGGACCGCACGTTGGTCTAGTCTACGCGTTGTGTTGGATGAATTCGGCTTCGATATCAATTTTCCAGAAGTTCAGGCCGCAACGCAGCACGGTGACCTTGACCCTTATTGGATCGCGAGGTCGCGCGAGAATCAGCGGAAACTGAAGGTGAGAAATGATCAGAGGCTCGAAAAAAGAGAGAGAATTGAAGGCATGCAAAGCGAATGTTTGATTCTCTGTTAATTAACTAACGGGACAATAATCAGATAACGGGTTTGATAATAAACGGATAATAATGGATCTCTTCTGCTTTGTCGATTGATTATTATGATATTAAGTTCTCATGAAACGTGGAGTAATTTTGCTGCTCGCATATAAATTATTTGATTTTATGCAGATGAAGGAAACAATTTTAGCAACTATTATCTTGTTAATTTTATGAATCATATTTCTTTATTAATAGTAACGATCGTAAATATTACCTCTCTGTATAATTATTTATGTAATTTGTAAATGATTGTAATTAATCGCTATAATACCAAGTGAGCTATTGATAATTAGAAGTTAAGTAAACATAAAAAAATATGTATACTCAGAAAGAATCATTTTGCTAAAAACTCTAAAATTTTATTTTATACAGACCTGTAAATAATTTTGCTGGACTATCAAAAGAGTTAAAAAACTGCAAGAGTTGAAAAACTGTAAAATGATGAGCAAAAAGTTTTTATATACCAGTTTTAGTTTCCAATAAAAATATTTTTAGATTTGTTCCAGCAAAATCTTTTCGTGTTCTTTTCGTGTAATAATGAAAATATTATTATAATATTGGCAATTGGCTGATGTTGGCTGTTGAACTCCAAATTAGTTAAAGTGGTATAGGGATGACGCAAAATCTGACGATGGGGATGGGCATCCTTAGTAACAGTGTAATGCCGTTCGAGTATTGATTTCAGACACGGGGTTTAGGGTAGCGTTACACGTGTCTACGATGCATTCAACAAACATTGGTCATGCTCGTTTCGCGTAAACCCTTTAGGATTTCCTTCCGCTCGATTGAAAGCCAATCTGATACAAATCAAGACAGATGCCGTTGCAAAGTAAAAGAATTTCATTAATCAAATTTAAGAAAAAAAATCACTTCGACATTTCTTGACGTTTCAGTTGGACAAATTGATAATTTCTGCCTTTAATTTGTCGGTAATAGCATATAATTTTTCAATGTCTTTATGTTGCATTTTACATGAGATGGATATTTATAGACGCGTGATAAAAAAAGAGTAATAAAAATCTCGCAATCTCTAGGAATTTCCTGGAATTAATAATAAAACGATGAGCGCAATAATTTCCCGCGCCATCGATCATGAAGAATTCCAATGATATCGAATCATTCGATCGCAACTTCGTAGATGATACCGGATGCAGAAGCTGTGTGTCAGACTTCCGAAGCTGCGGTCGACAATGGCAGCGACGTATACGAGAAGATTAAGGACCGGCCGGAAGAGGAAGTGGCGTCGGTGACCGCCTGGAACCGATACCAGCGATTGGTAGCCGCGATGGAGTCCCGGGGTGGTGAATTCAACCGGAAGTCCATGATCGAGGCGATCTTCCGTGGCAGTGATCTCGTCTACGTCACTCATTGATCGGCGGATCGATTAGGCGCGAGTGAGAATTTCTCGCGCGTTCCTGTACCAAAGTGTCAGCCAGTATCAAATCACTTTTGAGCAGTGGTGTAGAATTCGCGAGTCGCAACGTCGTAATACTCTTTGAGTATGATGGATCTATATGATGAATCTGAATGAAACAAGGATTTAGCATAATTTTTCGAAAGAAATGGAAATGATACTTGCATTATTTTTTTATAGAATGAAATAATATAGGCTATTATTACTTTATAGATTCCCAGAGAATTAATTATCTTTACAAAAAAGTCATTAGAAGATAGTAATTATTACATTAGTTTATTACATTATTTTAAGATAAAAATTTGTTTCAATTATTTTAATCGACAGCAAATTCTTTTTTTAATTTTGTAAATTTTGCCACGCAAAAATCTCAACTTTTATTTTTGCAATAAAATGCATTCTGTTTCATTTCAGTATAATTTTTTGTTTTTGAGATATAGAAATTTAAAAATAGTTCTCATATAACAGAAAAAAAAGCATCTTTGGAAAATAATTAATTATATGTAAAGTATGATTATATAGTACAATGTAATCATATTAAATAAAAAAACAATATGAAATTGAAACAAAAAATACAATAAGTATTTAATTAAGTTGCTAATCTTAAAAATAAAAAAAAATTGTACTGAAATGTGAAACAAAATGCATTTTAAACTAAAAGTTGAAAAGTGCTTTTTGCGTGGCATTAACAAAGTTTAAAAAAATAAATTAACTGTCGGTTACAACGTCATAAAAACCTTTAAAATCATTCTCTTTTTGTGACTTCATTTGACGTCACTTTTCCTAAAATTATGACGTGATAGCTAAATTTTGAAAACGAATTTGTACTCAGCTTCTAAAAATTACGAAACGATTACGTTCGTTCAGTCAATGATCCTAAAATGTAAATTCATGGGCTGTTATGTGTTATTGATCTAAGTAATTATTGTTAAAAAAATAATACTCATTAATACAGTTAACAGTAAATAGTCAGTTGACACTCACTCCGTTTTCCCTCTGTAGATGAATGATGTTACATGCATATTCAAGTTTTGATGGATATTTTTTGATGTATTGAAATTGCTATGTGACGTCGAGAGTAGGATGTAAGAGCGCAGTTTGACGCGGTTAACGTGGCTGTGTATTATAGTTCGACGTCGAGCACACACTATTTTTAGATCCGCATGAGGGGAGTTTAATGGTTCTGGGAGACGAATGCTTTCATAAGTTTATACGTGAAGCAAGTATCGTTACGTACGAGTATCCTTGAGGAACTCCAAACAGCTAGTCTCGAAATTAAAGAAGACACGCACATGTCCTCATTAACGTCGAAGTCCAAATTGTATTAACAAGCTAAGCATTACTCTAATATATATCACATTTTTGAGCGGAAATAAAATTGAATTGTGTAATAATAGCAGCAAATGTATATTGAGAGAAAAGTGTTTAATATTGTAATTATAATGGATAGAAAGAACATTTGTTAAAATATTTAAAAATTTAACTGATATAATCTGATAATAATTTTGTTAAACTATCAAAATAATTATTTATAGAATGCTTAAGCGTTGATGGCAATGCTGCAAAAATTTTGCGACTGTTCTTCATAATTATTTTGATAGTACAAACAAAATTATTTTTAAATTTAACTAAAATTTTTAGCTCAGCGAAACCTTCTTTCTATCCATATATAATTACATGATACAGTAATTATGATGACAGGAACTTCATTCTTATAATTATTATTGTTATAATGTTAGTAAAAATAATTATATTATTAGTTCTCTACCTCAAAAAATTTATAGAGACGACACAAAAAATGCCTGTAAACTACAGTTAAATTATAGTATCATTTTTTTTCTCTCAGTGTACATGCAATGTACTATGAGAAGCAAAGAAATTCAATGCTTTTGAGATAAAATTTTACAAATTATTAATTTGTTAATTGTTAACATTGATACAGAATATTCACTATATATTTGATGAAAATACAGCCATCTTTTATTTTTGAAGAAAAAGATTCTGCCGATATTTGTTAGCAATTATACGTAATAGTTAGCGAATGTGGATTAATGTAAAAATAAGCGCACTGCGTTTCTACGCTGACTAATGCAATCGTAGATAAAAATACAATTAACGATGCCAAACTGTGTATTACTAGTCAACAATGTGTGCATAAATCGTGGAAGAATAGGATAGATCATTTAATTAAGCAATTACGACAACGGCGATGATTCGCTCGCTATCACGCGATAGACGATGGAAGGCGTATCTCTAATCAGTCGCATGAGCTCATGCGACATTGGCTATGCTCAATCTTGCCAGCGATGAGCTATATTCACTCTATGTATTATATATAGAGAAAGATTATGCGCGAGAGGCTGAAGCAAATAATAATTATAATTATGATTGTCACCAATTCCGAAAGATTACGATTGTAATTGAATGATTGAGAGATAGCGTTTTAAACTTTAGAAACGAACTGTAAGGGAATCAGTTCAATAAAATGAATTATATTTATTTGAAACTTCAGTGTTGCGTATTATTGATCACCGTGATAAGTATTATGTTTGATGAATTCAGAGACATTAGAAAAGATACTCTAAAGATTTAATATCTTTATAATATTATATTATATAAAGATGAAAAAAATATTTTAGTGCAAAAAATAAAGAAAACTTGAGACAGAGGTTTTAAGTTCATTAGTCTTGCTATGAAATAATGCTATGATATGCAAAGGTAATAAATTAAAATTCGATCTCCTTACACAAAAATCCAGAGGTAAAATATATTTACGATTAATTTATACAATTTGCTTGTCATTTCCACGACAATTAAATATTATAGGATTAAGTCGTGACACGCGACTAATAATTGTATACATGTACATAACTATTATATTAAATATTGTAGTACAAATATACAAAATATTTACAAGTAACGTTTATATATAATCAACTCCCCGTCTCCTAAATAAATTCACTACATATTGTCAAGTATTTTACAGCATTTTTACAAAAATAGGCACAATACTGTGTGAGCGTCTACAATAATTGCGTCTACAATAATTACATATCTGTAACATATTAATCGCAGCTTACAATTAATAATAAGTCCGAAAAAATGAGATATAATTAAAAAACTAATTATTTGATAAAAAAATACAATTTTCGCGTTACAGAAACAAAGAACGACTTTTCGTGTCTTAAAAATATGCACAATGTGCGCTAGTTCTAGATATTTCTTGACTAAAAATTTTTTACATCTTTCGTCAGCAACCTGAATCTTCGAGTTTCAATGTAGGTTTTTATATTGTTCCAATATAAAAATCTGAAAAATCTTTGACTGTGAAAATTTTAATGAGTTTTTACTTTATCATAATAAGGTATTTTATCATAAGTATTTTATATTGTATTTTTTTTACTCATTTCTTACAGAATTTAAATTCTTAATTCGAAATTCATAAAATTCAAAAATTCGATTGTGCCTTCAAAGTCCAACTTGATTGATGGAGGGATTTATCAATCATTTTCTCTGTTAAAATTGTTATCACCTTAATGCTCTAATTTATGTACTTTTTCTCAATTCCATTATTAACAAAATCCTTCAAAAAAATGAAAAAATTTACAATAATATTTTTTATACATACGCCAAGAATTTGCGCCAAGAAGAATAATATTTCTCGGCTGTACAAAGTCAGTGAGCCTAATAGTATATTGGAATAAGCCATCGAACCAATAAGAAGTGGGAGTGTTTCAATTCTTAAACAATGACATTCTGAGCCAAAGATTGTACAGTTTTCTTTGTCAGGAATTTATCGATTAATTAAAACTGTTTTATCACACTAAAAAAATTCACTTGAATATTAATTAATTTAGTTCATTTTTATTCTTTTCAAAGAAGAATGTACGTATTTAAGTCAAATATATTAGATTTTACTTAAATACATACATGTTCTAATGAAAGAAATAAAGACGGATTAAATTAATGCAGTCAAACGAACAATTTTTTTTTCAGTGCATAAGAAAGACAAGTATTTGTATGCCATCTTTTTCTCTATTCGTTACGGTTTTCTATAGTTTAGTACAGAGGAAGGCTCGCTCCAGTATAGATTACAAATCTCACAAAGTAAATCATTTACATCTGTTGACATGCCGCTGCTAACATCACAAGGACAAATGATGCAGTCTTTATATAATGTTGTGGCAATTTCATATAAACTCGGTGACGAAAATCTTTTTGAAGTCCGGTACCGAGCCGCCAATATCGTGTTTGCATATGTCGCCATTGTCGAGGTAACTCACGTCGGAGTTCTTTAGGATAGTTTTCAGATTCTCCATCGAGAGATTCGGCATCTTTTTATTAACAGTCAGTTTATCTAGGTCGTTCATCGAATAACCGGGCACGATTCTTTTAGTTTTTAGATGATAGGACTGTATGCTAGGCTTCGTGTCGGACAGCTTCGTATTACTGCCGCACTTCTTGTCCTCTCGATCCTCGGTACCGTTCTCTATGATACGCGGCGTGAAAGATCGCATGCTGACCTTTACCTCGCTGGTTCGCTTCGAGGGCAGCAACTCCACCTGTAAAACAGAACGTTCTCACGATATGGGATTACGTAAGCGTGTGCGCCTTTAACGCCGCGAAAAGGCCGACGAATCGCTCTGTCAGCGGCGAATATTTTTCTATTAGGACGATGCATTTTCTCGTGAAAGTACCTCTGGTATCCTCTTGCGTTTAACATTAAACTCGAGAAAACCGGTCATTCTAACCACTATCGGTAAATATTGAATTTATTGATTATTATCCTGATGAAAAAATAATATTTTTAAGAATTTGTAGTATTTTAAATTCTTAATAAAACATTACATTTTTAATAAAACAAAGATTTTTGAAAAATATCTTAATTTTTTTTAGTATTTATAATTTTTTTCTTTAGTATTTTCTTATAAAAGGGATGAAAAATCTTAAAAATTAAAGAATATTTCAGAATTCATATATATAGAATTCTAAAAAAATTCTTTGAAAAAAAT